TCATGTACATAACGAGACATCTCCCATTCATATACAAAACGAGACATCTCCCATTCATATACATAACGAGACATCTTCTATTCATAAACATAACGAGATATCTCCAATTCATATACAAAACCAGACATCTCCCATTCATATACATAACGAGACATCTCCAATTCATATACAAAACCAGACATCTCCCATTCATATACCTAACGAGACATCTCCTATTCATATACAAAACCAGACATCTCCCATTCATATACATAACGAGATATCTCCCATTCATATACATAACGAGACATCTCCCATTCATATACATAACGAGACATCTCCCATTTATAAACATAACGAGACATCTCTCATTCATATACAAAACGAGACATCTCCCATTCATATACATAACGAGACATCTCTCATTCATATACAAAACGAGACATCTCCCATTCATATACAAAACAAGACATCTCTCATTCATATACAAAACGAGACATCTCTCATTCATATACAAAACGAGACATCTCCCATTCATATACAAAACGAGACATCTCTCATTCATATACAAAACGAGACATCTCCCATTCATATAAAAAACGAGACATCTCTCATTCATATACATAACGAGACATCTCTCATTCATATACAAAACGAGACATCTCCCATTCATATACAAAACGAGACATCTCCCAATCATATACAAAACGAGACATCTCCCATTCATATACAAAACGAGACATCTCTCATTCATATACAAAACGAGACATCTCCCATTCATATACAAAACGAAACATCTCCCATTCATGTACATAACGAGACATCTCCCATTCATATACAAAACGAGACATCTCCCATTCATATACATAACGAGACATCTACCATTCATTTACATAACGAGAAATCTCCCATTCATATACAAAACGAGACATCTACCATTCATATACATAACGAGACATCTCCCATTCATATAAATAACGAGACATCTACCATTCATATACAAAACGAGACATCTCCCATTCATATACAAAACGAGACATCTCCTATTCATATACATAACGAGACATCTACCATTCATATACATAACGAGATATCTATCATTCATATACATAACGAGACATCTCCTTTTCATATACATAACGAGACATCTCCCATTCATATACATAACGAGACATCTCCCATTCATATACATAACGAGACATCTACCATTCATATACATAACGAGACATCTCCCATTTATAAACATAACGAGACACCTCCCATTCATATACATAACGAGACATCTCCCATTCATATACATAACGAGACATCTCCCATTCATATGCATAACGAGACATCTCCCATTTATAAACATAACGAGACATCTCCCATTTATATGCATAACGAGACATCTCCCATTCATATACATAACGAGACATTTCCTATTCATATACATATCGATACATCTACCATTCATATACAAAACGAGACATCTCCCATTTATATACATAACGAGACATCTCCCATTCATATACATAACGAGACATCTCCCATTCATATACATAACGAGACATCTCCCATTCATATACATAACGAGACATTTCCTATTCATATACATAACGAGACATCTACCATTCATATACATAACGAGACATCTCCCATTCATATACAAAACGAGACATCTCTCATTCATATACAAAACGAGACATCTCCCATTCATATACATAACGAGACATCTCTCATTCATATACAAAACGAGACATCTCCCATTCATATACAAAACGAGACATCTCTCATTCATATGCAAAACGAGACATCTCTCATTCATATACATAACGAGATATCTCCCATTCATATACAAAACGAGACATCTCCCATTCATATACATAACGAGACATCTCCCATTCATATACAAAACGAGACATCTACCATTCATATACATAACGAGACATCTCCTATTCATATACATAAGAAGACATCTCCCATTCATATACATAACGATACATCTCCCATTCATATACATAACGAGACATCTCCCATTCATATACATAGCGAGACATCTCCCATTCATATACATAACGAGACATTTCCTATTCATATACATAACGAGACATCTCCTATTCATATACATAACGAGATATCTCCTATTCATATACATAACGAGACATCTCCCATTCATATACATAACGAGACATCTCCCATTCATATACATAACGAGACATCTCCCATTCATATACATAACGAGAATCTCCTATTCATATACATATAGATAATTTCCTATTCATATACATTATGGAACAACTTTCGTTCATACAAATATGAATACATGATGGGTCATTTACTTCACGTACATTGATCAATTTCTATTTATAATAATGGATCTTATATTTTCCCTTTATGTAGTTACTAAAGAAGTAGCCGATATATTCACAGTGGGGGTGGAAAAATCCCAGGATCCGGTACACCCGGAATCCGGGATCGTATTCCTCAAGTGCTCTTATCCTTTTTTTTTCAAATTTGATTTCAAATCGATGTCATTATAAATATATGAGATGTAATTATTTACTTGATAACTTTTTTCTGATAAAAATTGGGACCAATATCAAAACCAAAGTAGTTTATTCGTTTCCCTATATGTTTTGTACGATTCCGGATCCGGGTTACGGATCCCGATATTGAATACATGTACTTTGGAAAGACGGTATATCTCGATGTTGGAAACAGACTTCCTGTTTTCGAAATAAAAATGTAAAAAATATGGCGATATATTATGATTTCTTTTAAATGATTTTTGTACTAGTATTAGAATAGAGGTTTTGACAAATTAATAAAGCGGTAGATTTTCTGTTATTTTCTCGAGGCATGCTGCTTAAAACAGAACGTAATTTTATCGTTGATGAATGTCACTATTATCAATTTATGTACCAGTTTCAAACCATTTTAAGCCTAAAGACTAGCTAGCCAGGCAATCAACAGAACTTTTTTGTATCAAACATGAAGTACATGTGGTTCCTTTTTAAGCAGCCTTTGATATCCGTGTCAAGGTTAGCAAAATGTATTCATAGTAAAATATTTGAAACATTTGCATGTTGGGAGAATTGTTGTCTGCTTTAAATGTCTGGTCTATGATTGCGCCCAGCAGGTTTTAAGACTTACATGAGCATTTTAGCTACAATATGCTATTTCAATATGGTTACAAAAACTATTTATTTATCAGAAATAATTTATTTTGACAAATGACTAACTCGTAAATATAGCCTTGTTTACGTAAATAAAGTAGGTGTTGCTAAAATATCGTTTTGCAAACCATTTTGCTATTTTCTGGAATAAGACAACATTGCGGTTAACCGAAATATTTTCATCTTTAGTCAAAACATTTATTTTTTCTGCATGTATCTATTTCTGTACTCCCAAACCGAAAGTTTCTGAATCAAATTTGTTATTACATGTATCATGTTAACTATAGAAGTAGACGCAGAAGAAAACTTCATTAAAATCACTCCATTTAGATTTAAAAACCTAAATTTAAAATCTTGAATTTATTATAAAGATCAACTTGGGTACTAGTCTTATAACAGGAACTTATTTAAAAGATATTTAAGAAAAACATGAATACTCGAAATAAACCGTATTTTTGTGTTATTTTAGCCAGGGTCTTTCAAATAGAAAGACCCTGTTTTAGTTCGATTTGAGTGAAAAGTGGTGCAACGCTTTTTAATTTTTTGATCATTTTTACACAATAAAAATAATCATTCTGGGAAAACGAAGTGAGCGAATGAACATACAATACTGGTCAAATGGAACATTTAAATCTCTTATTCTACAAAGTGTAGATGTATATGAGAAATATTAACGTCACGGTTGTCCAATGAAAAGCAACGTTACAAATGCGCTGTACTATATTTTCGTTATGACAATACGACAATGACCTTCACCTCAGTTACAATGACTAATATCTTATATATGTATAAGTGCGGCACGTTTAATCTTAATCACTTTGTGGATTACCTAAATGTCAGTTTTGGACAGTAGGTAAATGTAATCATAATCTACTGTATTAAATCTTATATAATCGTATTACAATTACCCATAATGCCACATCAAAGATAATACTTGTATTCCTTTACGCCACAGATTCACTCTAAGTCAAGATGATACCCAGCTGGCCTTTGGAATGTCATTTGTTTAATTCCGGTGCCCGGTATCCACTTACCGTTACACTGGTAACTTGCCAGGTGTCTATGGATTGACCATTAACCTGTTGTATTAACGTAATGAGTTTGCCCAATTTTGAGGTTGAAATAGTCCCTTCAAAACTTAATGAATTGTAATATCAAAATAAAATTAAAAAATAGCTACCAACAATATTAACATTGGTCAGAATAATCACGGTTGTACAGACTGGCTTGGCTGGAATACGGGTGAAAAAAAGCTAATTACTTTCAGTACAATGATGTAATGATGTTATCGATTACACAAGTTTCAAGGAAGAATATCACTGAGTTTTTTTGTTTTGTTTTTTTACTTTTTCACCACGAAAATGTGGGACGACAGTTTATAACCACGGCAAAAAAGCATGGCGTAAATCAGCCACCATACTACAACATTTTTTATACATTTAGTGTTTTATGGAAAAACCAAACTATGGAAAAGTAACATGGTCATGTTTGCGAATGAATAATTGTTTTCAACCTGAAAGAGGTAATACACCCCTAAATTTTCAAGTATTATTGTAATACAGTGTACATTCAGAGATAGTAAGTTTTGCGAATGAATAATTGTTTACCACCTTGATATATTTTGATAGAAATACATGTAATACACTCTTGAAAGTTTAAATATGCATTGTTATCTTATAACAGTGTACATGTAGATGCATAGAAGATATCAACTACGAAGCAAATGAAAACCATTTACGTGTATTATATTCATAATGCCGCTGTGAATGATGCTTCTTCTTTAAGCAGTATGCCAGTCACTGTCATACCATAGGTTAGTGGGCTGTCAATGAATGTATGATGAAGATACAAAAAAGTCGTGTATAGCAAACATATTTATCTTTTATTCATTTAAATGACAGGGAAAAATCAGTAAAATAATGGTATTACTATATTATAAGACTATATCGCAATATTAATACATACGATTCTTTTCAATTTTCAAAAAATAGAAAAATAACATCAGCATAAAATCGGACCCTACTGTTCGACGCAATAAATGTATATGAACAAACAAACAAAAAATAGAAATATATAAAGACAATTCTCAAACTCTTTGATGGAAGAAGTTTCATCCACCAACAGTTTTTTCCCCCACAATATGTTATGTTTTATGTAATATACATGTATAGAGTATAACTATAGAGACACATCCTGTTCGTCTTTGTTTGCAATTTAATTTCGAAATAAAATGGCGGGGAGCTATATTATTTGCTTTAACCAAACTGCATCGTAACAAGAAGTAAAACGTTTACGATGACGTCATTTGCGTTCCATATGAACCATACGCATTTATATATATAAAAAAGAAAAAAAAACAAGAAAAAATACATGAACGAAATCGGATTTCTAAAACTGTATATCTAATGGACAAAATATATACCCTATATCTTAGGTAAAATGGCGTTTAGGAAAAGCAATGAAATAATTTATGTATTATAACTAAAAAATCATACAATTAACAAAATCGCGAAATTAATGTGAAAATAACAAAATATTCTAAAAATAGAATACTCAAAACAATCCTCAGGTCCTTACCCTCTTATACAAAAATATCAAATAAGAATGACTACTTTAAACTAAACATTTTACTACTAGAACTATTTTTCTGCGAGCATTATTTATAACCATCTGAGGTACTTTGGTTTTTTTAGAAAGAAAATAATGAAACGTGGATGATAGCGAATAAAATGTGTAAAATGAACATAAAAAGTTTAATTTAACATCCAGAAAATTTTAATAATTCAAAAAGCCATCTTATTTACATTGATTTTCATCAAGTCGATGCAAAAGAAAATAAATACAATGTACTCCATTGTTTCTTTATTTTAGATGTACTCAAAATGCTAGCAAACAATGAATTTGATCATTTCTTAAAGAAATACAAAGTTAAAAGTTCAAAAGCTATAAAGACATTCATTTTACATTAATAAATATTATTATACATTTATGACTAAAAATAACCTCGTGATGTGATTGGTCAGCCTCGGTGAATATCACAATACCCAGGTCAATAACTTTTTGATATTCACCTTATCATCATAAAATATTAGTACAATCTAGTATATTGTAATTTTAATTTTCAAACTGCTAAAATATTAAAGCATAAGCCATGATCGCAATTATTTTCTAATATTATCAAACAAGGGCAACATTAACCCTGAATTTTTGCAATGGATTTGGACTGCTTTGAATTTGAAAAAGTTCATTTGAAGTTTAAGGGATATCAATATTAACTTATAAAAAGTGATCTACGATCAGTACAAAACCTGGTCAGACTACACAGATGTGCTGACAGTGTCGGCTGGCCTGGCTCTATACTAGTGGCACAGGTCAGTCACTTTTGGTTTCCTGCAGGTCTAAGCTTTATGCACCATAGGTCAACAGCAAATTATACATATAAATATCTAAACTTAGTAAATAAAACACGGAATGAATTTTGCATCACAATTATTTGTGCAATTAATGTCAGATGAACGAATATATAAAGCACCGGAGAATAGCACCAGTGTAAACAAATAACTCTGTCAGACGGCAAAATATCCCAACCATCTCATTGTTCCTTCACGGAACTTGTAAATCTAACACGTAAAGTCCGTGCATTTTTTATTTCTTATGTTATGAAACGTGTCGTTCTAACAAACTAGCATTCGTCCTCCAATCTTAGCATGAAAGATTTGGAAAGATTTCACGTGTTGTTTAACTTGCACCGACACTAACGGTACCGAGAGAAGCAGACGTATCATTGGATGTTAGTCCCATAGAGCTAACGCTATGCGAGTAGTGCTGATCCTGATCGAGGCTTGAATGATGCTTTCCAGGGGAGGAAGTACTGTACTGCGCATGTCCACTCAGATTTTCTGGAGTTTCAACTTTGATATTGGAATCTGACCTTTGCCCTGCAGAATGATATGTGGCGAGTGATTGTGGCAACATCATACCGGGAATGCCGCCATTATTCATTGGCGGAAGTGACGTAAGATTATAAGGACTTGAACTCTGTTCAGTATTATTATTGTTATTTGATGGCGAGTCACTGGGTTTGATATCTGAAAAATAAAAGTACATTTTGTAAGAATAAAATTAAGATGATATCAGTTATTATTCTGTATGTAAAATACATACAGGACATTTTTTTGCTTACGCTGGTGCAATAAATATTACAAATATAGCGGTAGAAAACAAACTAGAAATAAAATATCTATGTAATAATTGTGCTGAAATAGTGATAATGAGGTCGAAATGTTCAAAGAAAAGCATAAATGACAACAGAGTCTTTTAATACAGTAACAAAACGTAATATAATATAAACTACTGGCGTAAATTCTCTTTCTGTTTTTATCGATTTACAATGTATTTCGAATTGTTAGGATTTTTAAAATTTGAATGTTTTAAAACAATAAAATAACATTTGGGCAATACAAGATTTTTGTAAAAATGAAATTGTACCTTCTGAATGGTCGGTCTTTACTGTTGCACCGGAACCAGAATTATTTGGAGTGCTGGATCCATTCTTTGATTTGCTGCTAAGACTTTTTGGCTTCCGCTTCCGTGTCTGGATCCCGTCTTTCTTCATAGCCAACGGACGGTTGACCTACAGGTGATAAAATGTTATAAATTAACTCTAAATTGTAACAAAAGAAAATTATGTAAAATTCTAAGACATTTTATTGGCATCTTTAGGTTTTATCATCATTTCTTTATTAAAAATCATTTACTCATTATTAAACTAAATTAAGCATTAATAGTTGATAAACAAAGACAAAATAGATGAACTATAAAGACTGCATAAATGATAAAATGATAAATATGCTTTATAGGCATACCCCGTGCAGTTTGTAGTAGAGTCCACAAGCGTTACATACGGGTTCTCCCTCACTGTTCCGACGCCATAACGTCGTCGTCGTTGTATGACAGTTGGCACAAGACAGACCAACACGGCGGCTTGCCGACTGGAAAAATGAATGTATAAAATGTATAAGATAGTCAGGGCTACATTCAATTGTCTTCTGTCTCAGCCTTTTATGTATGCGCTTATTTTTTATAAGTTTTTTATTATTTTGTAGACTATTTTCTTACTTAATAAAGGCTTTTTTATGTTTATGTTATGTTCAATGGATGAGAAATGTTTCAAAGATTTTGTAGTCATTGACCTATCGATTATTAAGATTTCTTGTCACTTTCTCCGTGTTTCTTTCACCATTTACGCATGCCAAGATAACATTATCCTGGAAACGGATGTTTCAACACTCAAACTAAAAGCCTACTCAACAGCGCCGCCTGGTGGTGGCTTACAGTGCGTAACAGTGAAAACACGTCACTCATCTTGATATCTAGGTTTGATACCACTAAATTTGTTGAGTGACGGACATGAGTAAAAGCAAACTCGTGTTTCTTTCGGAAAACAAACAGAGGAGAGATCACAGACGGTAATCCAGGCTTTTTGTTTCAAACAATCATTGATGAAGCCATCTGGTCATTCCACTTAGTTCTTTATCTCAATGAAAACAAAGAGATTTAATTCTTAGCAACTCAAGCGACAAATGGCTACCGTTTAAATTCTTCAGACAACAGTAAACTTGAAAAACATTACACTGGCGTAAATGCCGAGGAGAATAGACTGGCAGCTATTAACTATCATAGGGTTAACTTGGTTGTGATTTATTGGTTTCACTTTCAATTTAAGAAGATATTCTTATCACTACCGGCGCCGAGTGACGATTTTCGGCTCTTGCGATCGAAGCGATAATCGCCGCATCTAAACCGGAAGGTTTACCGTAAAGCATTCTTTAACGTCGTAACAGATGACAGAATACAGATACCTATCGGGTATGTCGTAATTTGTGAATGAAACAGCGTTCTAAAGGAGAATGATATAATTCGGCTGCTCGGAAAATATTATATTCTGTTAAATAGACCGTGAAACATGTCGTGTATTCTCAAAATGTACACAAATACATGTTCTTGCATAATATTCTATATAAGATGCTGGGTCCGAGGGTATAAACAAATTCTCTATGCTCAAACTTATATCTCGAGTATTTGATTGAAACTGCCACAGAATGTACAATGACCAATGAAACTTCTTAGTTTTGAGACAGAACTTGGATTCAAAATAAAACTTTTATAACTGTCAGGCAAAGTTAGGATTTATTCACTTCTTTATAGTGTTATTGGTCCTTAAATTTTTTTTTGTAAAACAAAACAAATAGATTATAAAAAATGATTAACAGTTCATTACAATGTTAATGCACTGAATTAACTCTGGATGTTTAATTGGCACAAAAACTCTGAAGTTGTATACTAATATAACATGGTAACAAAATGAGAGAGGATCTAGTTTTCACAGATAAAACACAGAAACATATTTATATCAGTCAAATAGTTTGAAATCAAGATTTTTGGATATATAGAATAGAGATAAGCCAACTCCAGACTCTTACAAACCCATAATGTTCCAAGCCGTTGGGCTTATCAGTAAAAGATAAGGTTTGCCAGAACCCGCCAAAAATAACTCGGAAATGAATCTAAATTGGCCTAAACATTAAAACTTGTGAATAAACATTCTATGTACAAGGTAGCTAGAATTCGAGAATTAATTTAAAGGAGTTTTTACGGTTGATAATACTTGAGGTGTTTGCAGGAAAAGTAGACCGTTTAGAACGGCGCCATGGGCGGCCATTTTGATTCATTACTGTTTGATAGGATCTCGATTGAACTTTTACGGCTGTTTATAAATTACTATCTATCTGGAATTTAATGGGAGGATAAATGAATTATGTTGAATCATCAAAAGTTAAGAAATTTCGTATGGTTAAACCGGAAGTCACGTCCGGTATCACTGACATTTTCAACAGAACATTTTTCGGCTGATAAACTATAATACATGTACTTATCTAAAATTTTATATATATTTCCCAAGAAGTATTTTAATGCTGTTATATCCAATATAAATGAAAATTTACTTAATATGTATTTTTGTTAATATGTCAGAATTATTCAACATTTCAATTAAGTTTTTAGCAAAAGAATTGATTGACTTTTACAGATATTAGTTGCATATGTGTATATAATATTATATAAATATAAAACCAAAACAAAACATGGTATTCATCACAATTAGCAAAGAAAAGGAATTAATCTAAATACAAATTATCCTTCTTTTAGAAATAATTTTCCAGGCATTTTATTAAAGAAATAATGAATATACATCATTTTAGTTATGGTGTCATTTTTTAAATGTTTCTAATTATAGATGACCTACTTTTGATCTGGCGCCAGTAATAAATCCCGTGTTCATGTCACGCCACGGATTCAGGGGTTGCCCGTACGGGTCAGTTTGATAGGGGAGCATCTCGTTGAACTCGCCCTAAAATACGAAAATAAAAGATAAACAGTCAACATGAGTTGTCTAACGTGAATTCGGAAAATTTGTTTGAAAAAAAAATCGTGCAAAATCACACATGAACTGAGCTTAAAACTATAAGAACAAAGTGAAAAATATTTTGAACGAGTTGAAGGATAAAAGTTTTTGATAAAAACGAGCACCAATGCATAAAGGTAAAATTTGATTTGAGTGCAGGAAATGATATGAGTGTGACATGAACACGTGATTTGCTAGGATGTGGTAGCCATTGGTCCACTCGGGAATTTCCGTTGCCATCAATGATTGATTACGGGAACATGCGGAAATCACCGAGTGGAGTGCAAGAGATTTAATGCTTATAAAAATGCAAAAATAAAAATATCCTTACCAATCGTCTCTGCGGTTTAATCAATGGACGATTCATTCCGTTCATTTTATGGTACAACCCACAGGCATTGCATAGATAGTGTCCGGTTCCATCACGGCGCCATAGTGGAGTGGAAATAGCCCCGCAGTTGACACATTCCCTTCCTTCTAGATCAGTAAAATATTCTTGACCATCTACAATCAAAACGCATTTATACACATAGTATTGCATAATAGGTATACATGTATACAGTTCTAAGGTCGCTTTTCTTTAAATCACCACAGGATATTAGGAGGGGAAAAACATTTTGACACTTTTTTCTGTCACAAAGGTCATCCTTATCTACTTGATATTACTTCTCATCAAATCAAACTTCGTTGATTGATATGATGACAACAAACTCGACGGGACTACTTTTTCAATCGAACGTACGATCAGCAAGAAGTAAACAGCATGCTCCTTAACAGTATGTTGCCAGCTAGAAAATGAGATATCAATCATATAAAATACGGTTAAATGTCTTTCATTTTTCATAATTGAAGCTTATTTGTTTGCTTCCATCAAATTACAATTTCAAATTATCTATGTAAGTGATTCTCATGGCATCGATTTTCTTATGAAGGAACCGCACTTGTTGATCCGCCAAATTATGACAATGACGATCGTTATTATGATGCAAAAGTGCATTAAATTGATGATAAGATATATTTTAAGTGCTAAACCGGTAGATGTGATAACATCGACAGGAGATGATTTATTTGAATGCACGTCGTTACTACGCGTAATAATACATTAGTTCCACGCAGCGCCGCGCGCGTAACGCCGCCATTTTATACCAATTAAGCGGGAGTGTGTTTTAGTTTTAATTTATTTTATTTTACAGAAAACCGTTATTTTATCTATCTTAAAACGTATCGGTATTAGATAAAATATTTTTCCTGATAACGTCGGATAACGAATTATTACTATGATAAGACAATGTGTAAAATGCTCGAGTAACTTGAATTTACCATTACGTGGAATCGTTCTAACCGTCTTTTTATGATGTTAGAATATTTAAATTTGATAAGAAAAAAGATGATTGTGATAAGAATATCTAATGTGCATTTAATACTATTTTTGTTTCTATAATGGCTACATACAAATTGAAGACGCACGAACGAGGAAATGTCGAATTCAAACGTGTTGAAGGAAGCATGCTTTAAATAGGAAATTTTTAAAGACTTTGCATTCATTTCTTTGTTTTGCTGACTTGATAGTTTTAGTACTATTGTAGTGTTACTTTTCATACGACGGTGAGCAGTTACCTAAACTAGTGTTCCAGTGTTCCTGTCCCTGTGCTGACAAAGATTTGTAAAAGATCAAGATTTCTCTATTGGTTGCTCTATAGGTAGACTATGCAAATGAAAATTTAGAATACATGTATATTGATCAGGAGTCTGATACTAAATTTGATCCTAATTACATCAGTCATTATTGTAATTTGTATTGTGTTGTACTTAATGTTTTGCAAAATGATATATTAAACTTCAAAAATTGCATTCAATGTATGGCTCAATGTGAACAATTATATATACACTCAGAATGTAATGAAAGGAAAAAAGACAATTTTGAAAGTGTTCTTCTACCCCTTGACATTTAAACAGCCTTTGTTTATATTCAGTAAATCATTTTGAATTAACCTGTGGGTCTTTTATTCGGTTTGCTGAACGATTTTCAAGAGTTTTATTTGTCAAATGATCGTACAAGTGCTTTCGAGAATGGAAGGTCAAAATCTTTTACAATATATTTGTAAACAAGGCATAATTTTTTGTAGTTTGTATTGGCAAACACACGTTCATTGAAAAGACGTATGATAAATAATGGCCTATATGTCTTAAAGTAATTGTGGGATGAACTAATGCTCAAATTAAACTATTCCCTAAAGTTCAACATTCATTTCACGTGAGTAATAAATATAAAGGTCCTGAAACAAAGTTTTCCGTATCTATGATAAAATTAATTTTTCGTTCAAAGGTATTTCTGCATTTAAATCATTTTAAATTATTGCCGAATAGTTTTCATTGCAATCGTTGTCGTCCTTTTGTTTACAAGAAGCCAACACGTCTAGGATGATGGGAGTGATGTGTTTACAGTACGGATTATAACATTTCTACGTCAAACAAAAAGTCGGCAATGGATTATTGCGCTTTCATGTTATGTCAATCATTTTTGTCTATCATTTGCTCAAACATTTGTCATTTAACAGAAGTATCCCTTGCTGTTCGGTGCCTAAAATTGTCAACCCCGTCTGATACCCTTCTTTGCCTTAAACGCATATAATTAATTAAAAAATATGACCGGCATTATGCCAATGAAATCTCGCAAGATTATATTATTACCTAAATAATGTTAATTTGAATAAATATTCAATAATATAAAAAGGAATCGCACAAAATATACTAAAAGACTAAAAATGATTGGGATGCGCAATGTGGTTAATTATATCGTTAGTTTATTTGGGGATGAAATGAAGCATTACTCCAACTGCTCTTAAAACTTTGAAATAACGTTCTCTACATTGTTTTATAACCAAGATATTATTAAAGGGTCAAGACCAAATAAATCTTGTAAACCTCTTAAAATTGGATTCTTTATTTGCACTTCTAAATCCATGGCACCCTTGTATCCCATCGATAAATTCCAAACAGCGCCGAATTTCGGTTTTCTTCTCGTACGGAGACACGAGATTTATGATGCAAAGGAAATGAATCGGGTGGGGTTTATGTGTATTCCGAAATGGTTTTTATAAACGAAAAATAAACGAAATACCTGAATTGTCATCCCGCTACCCCGGTGTGCTGATAAGAAAAGGAATTTGGGATTACTTTGGGCAAGGGTCGCATTTAAAGGTGTAAAAATCGATACCCAGTAAAGTCACCCATTTATGTTTACATTACGAGAAATATTTAATATGTAGTAATATATTACAAACAGGGGTTTTATCAGCTATAAAGATATATTTGTAATAAAGAGGATTTTCTTTATCAGATAATTACCAGTAAAATGAGCTTAAGATGGGTATTCTAAAAAGCCTATGGTTAATAATTTAGCACAGACGCACGACTACATTATAGATTTTGAATTAGGGCCCTTCACCAGCAAAAAAAAGATAGTAACATTACAAAGATTACACTAGTGAAATTGATAATGCACGTTGATAATGGATGAGATATAGAAGCGAATTGTAAATAGCGATTTGACACCAAACTGTTATTGAGTAAATACTTACTGAAAACATTATATGATAAGAGTAATATTATACTGTGCCGATTGCTGATATATCTAAATATTACAATTTTAAAACTGACAGAAGTAAACGTAAGAAAAATGACAGGTTATTAAGATGTGTTAAAAATCGATTTGGAAACCAATGAATGATTTACATTCCAAAACAAAACGAAATAAATTGTGTTAAGAAAGTTGGAAATTTTCGTTTTGAATTGAATTACAGTTTAATCAGTCTGTTAGTTAATTGCATGAGGATTCTCCGAGAGAATAAGTTTTATATATAATATTTATACAGTGTGTTGAAAAGAGAATCCATTACACATATATTGCTAGGGCTTCTAAACAGGTGTAGGGGGTAAATGAAAATTTTGAAACTGTATTGCTTGTTTTTGTGGAGTTTTTTTTTTTTTGTAAGGAAACATGCCTTTCCTCATTGTTCCAATTATCTTTACTTTATCAAAAAAAGACAAAGTATGAGATAGGGAAAAAATCTTACGGCAAAAACATAATGAATGGACTTTCAAGTCAGAGAGAACATCAGAAGACTGTGATAAGCCAAAACAGGCTTTCATTTGATGAAATACACACTACAGTCCGTGTTCATATGTCGTTATTTTCCTTGTTAATTAACAATTTATTACATTGCATTCGCTTGCTGTCCATTATCGGCAGCCATTTTGATCATTATCTTTTCTCAGACGCTTGATTTATGACGTAAAGGCGCGTGCCACCTAGACAACTAGAGGCACGTGCGATATAAAATGAAATAAATAAGAAAGAAGAACATTCGACAGCATTAATTATTCTTAAAAACAAAATACATATTAATATAAAGCTCTATTTTAACCACATAATTCACACAGAACTTGTCCTAAAAAGTAGCGAAGAAAAATAAATGAAAAGCTTTCAGAGGTAGAGGAATGTTATCGCATTTTAATGACATAATTTTTTTTTCAATTTATATATACTTACCACAAACAGCTTGTTCAATGCTGATATATAGAATTTATTTTAAACGGTAATGAAAGTCTCAAAAAAAGCTGCATGGTTTTCATCAAAAATTGATAAGAATCGGAACGTATAAATTATCAAATAATTCCCCCATAGTGCATCATTATTTTCATTTGAAACTGACATTACATAGATCTTACTATTCACGGAATTTAATGCCATACGCTGCCGACCGTCAGGCAAGAACATAACTGTCATAGTTTAGATGTAAAACAAAACGTTTGCTGTTTGTTACAACGAGATGCCATTAATTGCAGGATACAAATACGCGCTGCTATAATACTGCTGTGTGCTTGCTCTTGTTAATTTTCAATGTGACTAACCCGCTGTCTGTCGTGGTCCGGAGGGTAAACTACCAACACCAACACCACTGCTCTTTGAAACAGTCCATTTGTTTTATAATTGTTTAAAATTAAGTCAACAGGGCATTGTGACTTACAACACATTATAGAAACCGAATAGTCTAAACTATAGCTATTTCAAAGAAATGAAGAATATAAAAAGAATCTCCAAATTGAATTTTTCAAAAAGACTTTGCTTTAAAATAACGCAATGAAAATAAATATAGAATTTCAATTTTTCCTCTGGTATAAAGCCATTATAGTTATAGTATAAGTCACAATATATACATAATTTATATACGTGTACTAGTATTTGTAAAGGAGTTAACTTACCAGGACCAGTTTGACGTAGACCCTGTTGTAACGCCATTTGAAAATTCCATGACGTAATTTCCGGTGTTCCCATGTAAGTTGGATATGGGCTTATACCGCTAGAGCGTGCCAATGGAGTTGCAAAGCTGCTGTCAGCTCGTGCGGTAGGGGTTGAAATGGGAGAACTTGGCGATGGAGCAAATGCGAATCTCGGGCTAACAGAGGAATGTGGATTTGCTGCACTATATGTTGTGTCAGTGTTCATGGGCCACATAGAGTTTGTACTGGAAACCCCCTGGGCTGCACCATTTGTCATATAATGCATTGGTGGCAACACGGCTCGTGTGGTTGGAACATAAACCGGGTTTACACCCGAATGCATTGATGATATAGAGCCGACTGCGGCCCCTGTAGTGTCATATGTTGGGGCAGATCCAGCCATTGGCATTGCGTGCATTGAGTTTTGAAACATTTCTGTATTTTCACTGCTTGTCGAAGCACTACTGTCCGAATTTGTATCAAGTTTTGAGTTGGTGTCACTATCGTGTCCTTCTGATTCAATATTCTGTTTTATAATGCCGGTTTCAGGACCTTCTTCTAAGTCTTTAAAAAAGCTTTCAACGTCTTCACCTTGCAACAAAGATCGATTATCTTGAAAATTCAAGCCAGGCTGCATTGCCCGACTCGGGCTTTTAGTGAAATCAGCTTTTTTAGTTTCGGATTTTAATGAATGAAATTCTTCGTTCGTTTTTAATGATGATTGTACCGATGTGTTGTTCTGCCAACTAATATCCGATAAGGCCATTAAGCTCCATTTAGAAGTTTATCTAACCTTCACAAACAAGGTCGTTAATTCAGAGTCCGTGAGTCCGTTCAGATACGAAACTAACGATGCCGTTAATAAAATATTCCTTTCGCAGAACACTCACTCTTTCTTCAGTTATTGATGAATCTGCAAATAAAAAGAAACTAATTTTTGAAGAAAAAAAGTATTCATTAAAAAACGTAAAAAAAAATATCGTTATAATTTAAAAATAATTTAATCCAGAAGTTTTTCGGACAGAAAAAAAGTGCATTCAGCAATCATCATAATCATTTACAAAAATAATTTTATCATAAATAATCATACATAAATTACACTTGTCTCCTAATAGTCATCATTATTATCATATGACAAAATGTTTATTATCATTACCCTTTTATTATCGAATATTGGGGCATTATCGCGAGATATCTCGGGATATCTCGTGTAATCGAACGTGAACAAGGTTTGTGTCAAAAAGGCGGGACTATCCGCGTGATATAATATGGTTATAGATAATAATGAAAATAACTGAACGCAAGTAAGCAAAAAAAAATCTGCGAATACAAACAGTTAATTTTAATTAAAATGTCATCGTATGCACATTATACCTTACAGTATGATGGGTTTTTTTTGTTTTTTTTAACTATGTTAACTATTCTTTAAACGTTTCTTTTATTGTAATTTTCATTTGAATTTCTCCAAAACATCTGTTATGTTTTAATGTGTATTATCCAATATTTTAACACGATCTCTTCAATTTTACAAACAACTGCAAAACAAGTAACATCATAAATAAGTTCCAAACCATGTTGCCTGCAGGAGTCATGAGCATTTCTTTGAAAATAACAAGACATGCAAAAAAGCACTTTTGACACATTTTATTATCATATGTCTGAGTTATATAAGCTTAAAATATATTCTGAAATAATACTATATCGTTTTCATATAATAAAAATACATTTTTATTCTCTCGTTTTATTTTGGTTGAAATTTTGGATGAAATTTTATCATGCACCTTGCATTATTTCTAAGCTCATGTTTCGGGCATTATATGATATACTGCATATGTATATAACCATATCAAATAAATGATTAATGTTCCCTAGGAAACGGTTCAGCAAAATATCATATTTATTTTAGCATTATTAACAAGAAGCTATTTGCGGGGGGAAAAATCAGCAAACTGATGCATTTAATAATGTGCTTAGCAAAACACTATCCTGTTCCTGTTTAGAGATACTTATAATTTAAAAAAATGGGCGTATCACAAACTTTTTTTAATTCATGGTCAATAAACGAGTTATCTTTTAAAGGATTCATAGTTTGTTTGCGTTTTTCATATAAAATAAAAAGATGAAAATTAATTGTACCTTTGTGTATTTCTTAATATTGCAAAGAATCACTTTAATGTGAATAATTTTATGTGTATAAAACAACAACAAAAGTTTTGCTCTTTTAAACTGCACGCTTAGACTTTAAGAATCTTCTTCATAAAATTATAATTTTAGCGATATTGCAATGCACATTTTATACATATTTTACGTAAATTCTGCTTCAAAAACATGGACACTTATTCAAATTTTAATTGTTGCATAACTTTAATTTATGTTCGCTATGTCAATTAAAAAACGTGATCTTTGAATATCAAGGCGCTAAGAAACCACGCCAAAAACTCCAGCCATTATACCGATTCAAAAAAAAAACACTACAAAATTTTTGAAGTACACGAGTATTTTTAGTTTTTAGAGGAATTCATGCGCAGAAAAATCTGAAACACTATTTTACAGAACTAATTCATATCACTGAGGTCCTAAGATGACATCTGCAGATGGACTGTGTCATTGAGATAGCGATGCATGCTTTCTTGGAATATATTTAAGAAACAGTCTTATAAAAGCTATCTGTACGTATGATGGCAGATGACAAGATAATATTATTTATCTGTACGTACTAATTGCAGACGACATTATCAAAAAACTTTCACGAGGAGCAGGTGATCTCAACAAGCTATCAGTATTTGACAAGTTTGTTGTATTAATATTTAATCATAATGACGTCATCATATCTTTCGCCATGCACGAAAATATAGACTTTTAAATTTACACCTGCGATAATTCTTTAACGATTACACGGCAGAGGTCGTCTGCTAAATTTTGCGTCTGCGATTATTCCGCCAAAAATCGTGAAACTTTGTCAGGAAGTGAAATGGTCAAATGTTTCTTTCAAATACGAAAAAAGAATGCACAAAGTAGATGGTTGATGACGTATATATAGATTCCATACAATGTATATACTAAAATCATAGGGCCATTACATAGAATACCATATCAACATATAACGTTAGATGAATTACAAAAGATTGCTAAAAATAAATGTTTTTGAAACGGCTGTATACTGTTCGTAAAAAAAATAATAATAACAGGTTATTTTTGAATAATTTATTGATGATAAGTTATTTAAAATGTTATTTTAAATGTTATTTTTAATGTTATTTTAAATCCTATTTTACGACATAAACAATATTTGATATAAACAAAAACAAAATGTAAATATTATTACAATATACGATGCAAGCATTATAAAACAAGCAATAAAAGTTCAAAATTCAAATCTATTGAACAACTAAGTGCACATCAAACAATACTTCTATATTATATATATAATAAATCAAAGAAATAATTTATTGTTAAACAAAACATAAATCATTCTAGAAAAATATCAGAAATTACATCCGCAATTATCTCAGGTCCAGAATAAAGCTATGAATATCTTTTTTGTTTTGTTTTTATTTAAAGGGGGTGTTTTTTTTGTTTTGTTTTTTTGGTAACATTAATGGTTCTTTTTTGTACAACTAGTGTCCTTGTGGGTAGATGTATGATTTGTGCATATTTTTTTATTTATTTGTTTCTTTATTCGTGTCTCCTCTATGTACACACAGTATATATACAAACAATTTCATAAAATATGTACACAGCCATTCTTTATAGGAATTATAATTACTACGTGTCACAGAACCTGATTTTAATCAGGTTCATTATGCGGTTAAAAATAATTGAACCTTAGTACTTGGAAATAAATAAAGTAATAAACGAAATTTGTAAAAAGAAGAATAAATGTTTAAACAAGAAGATTCAGCTTCAATGTATAATGTTTTATAAATGTCTCTTGTAATTCTTATACGTTCGTGGATAGAGAAAGAATTGCAATATGGAGGGTTGATCGCAAAACTGCAGTAACTTTTATAAAATATAGAGAGATTTACAACAGTTTGCGGTCTCGATATATACGCATGAATGTAATGTAAATGTATATAAGAATAAACATAGAAATAAATCATTTTTGAAACGCCGCCGAAAAGGTTGAATACCACCACATAGTCCAACTAATTGTACTGCGCGGCGACAATATCTCGCCTTTAAAGCGAGATATTGCCCCAGAACGAAAATATCTCAGAATCAAGCTTTGGCACGTCAATATATTTTGACTAACCACCACTAAATTCGAGGGTCTTCAAATATAACCATGGAAACTGGTTATGTTTGTGGCACTGCTGAACTGGTCACTTTTAACATTCATTTTTAGATGCTGACATATTTTTTAAGTGTAAACATCATTGTTTTCATTTTTTTCTTCTGTTTTGTTTTGTGTTTATGATTATTATTTGAAAATTATTGTATTATCATTATTATTTATCTAGATACAAAATTGTTTCTGATTTTGTGTATAAAGATGAGTATGTAAATTCCTGATATAAATAGGATTTTCTTATATAATAAGTAAATAAATAAACAGACTCGTAACTAGGGAGATTTAGGGGATTAAATCATCTACATTTGATCCCCTACATCGCAATAAGACATCGAATTAGGGGCCATAAATGAAGCCAATCGCCCCTATTTTGATTTCGGGAAGGTTTTCGGTAGATAAGAAGTTTATTGGCGCATTAAGAGAATTGGGACCTGTTGAGTAACAGCCTTAGTTCGGTTGCTATGCAAACAATTTAAATAAATTGAGTTAATTACATGTTCTTTGGTTTAATTGTGTAAACAAAAAATTCGTCTGGTAGTCTGAACTCCCCGTGAAGCCACAGGATGTCAGAACTAAGAAAGAACTTAGACGAAAAAAAATTTGTCGCTGATGAATGTTTATTTATGTACCATTTATGTTTTTCATGTACACAATTATTCATTTTATTTTGTTTGAGACACTTAATAATGGTATTCTTACAGTAGTAACATAATTAAAAGAGTAATTTTATTTTACATTTTCCGTTTGAAAAATAAACTCCAAAAAAGTGTTTCATTTAGCAAAACTGAAAAGACACCACCAAGTCGAAATTAATGAAACGTTTAAATTGGCTAACCCCCGGAAACATAATTTGGAAACTCAAAATGTCAAATATCTTGAAGTGACTTTGGAAATCGTTCATATAAACATGTATCTCTATAAATATGATTCATCGAAAACATTAAAACTGTCCATAAATGTTTCTGATAAACCGAAGATTCTAAAATATGATTGTTTAATTTGAGGAAAGTTATATTTACTATAAATAACAGTGAAATGGGACAAATCTTGATCCTTACGGATAATTTATTCAGTAAAATTATTAGCAAAATTTCCGCATTTGAAAATATTCACTATTTTAATAAATAAGCACGTCAGATTTTTCTAAATAAAAACCATTAAGTACAATCATGTACATGTACTAAACTTTTATAAATATAAATTGATTGAAAAGTATTCGGAAGCCAAAAAGTGTTTTGATTGTCCATTAAACATGGAATGTTTTTGTTTATTTCCTAACTTATAAATATGTATAAAATGTACCCAATGCAGACCAGCGAAGCAAAATATTTAAATGTCAATTAATTAAACATTTTAAACCCTACGGCAATTAGAAACCAAACAATTCAACAAACGCGTAATTTGTCATGATCCCTTAAATTTATGATTCATAAAACAAACCACGCCATTTCTTCATTTTGAAGAAAAAAATACAGGTCCGTTTTGATCTGATGCATGTTTGATTTACTATATGCTAGGGGTAAGAAACATTCGCTCAAGATGCCCTATAAATATTAATTAGCGTCGCGAACTATATAATGCCCAAAATTTCTATAAGTTTCTACCTATTGTTTATTAAGCTATAATGTGACGGCCATAAAATTCGGCCTTTATACGTCTTTATTCGTTGTCAAGTAAGCGTTTATTAATATTTGAAAATTTAAGTGAGACCTAATGTCAACAAACTGGTCGTAAAGTAGACTGACATCCTAGAATTATAAATGTCAAACTTCGGAATACCTTGCCGGACATCATTAACCAAGGCTTGTAAAATCATGCGGCGATTGTAAATTTCTGCGGGTATAAAATATCCGAAGGTGCCGAATTCAAAGCACTTTAGTTCTTATTTTATCATTTCATTGGAAATGTCCCGTATTTTTAATATATATTTTACCCCTATAATTATCATTGATATGAATTATTTGTTGGAGTTTTTTAAAAGAATAACGCATTAGTTTATTTCGGTATGTTCTTTGATAATACTACTTTTCGCATTCAGGAATTTATACTATCAATATTCATGTACAACTAATAAATTCCACAAAAATAGGCGTATGTATTATAGTACATAAATATTATCAGCTTCATTAATAATATATTAATCATTGACAGTATAAAAGTTCATTTTTAAAAACATTTCTTAATGAAAAGCTGTTATAAAATTCGATTTAATAAAAAATAATGAAAATAAGTTTTATGATATATTTAGGAATATTTTTGAAACCAAAGAAATAGATTACTCGTCTTTCTGACTCAAATTAGTAAACGATGATGATAAAATGATATAAATGATTATAAAACGTTGAAACAAGCGATAAAATCTCACAGAATCTCCGAGATTTTCAAATATGTCGGCGGAATTAAAGTTATTTATAACAATTTGTTTATACATTCTATTCAACTTACCCTGGTCTGAATTACATAAATAAGTAGTCCTTAATATTGCTTCGCTGACTATTTTTAAGCAGTTCCTAAAATTTCAACAACCTCTGCTGCAAATGAATTGACCAAAAGATACATTTTAAAGCAAGGTCTACCTCGGTCATTGGTGCTTATCCTCTTTCAAGAATTCCATACCAGTTGAACTTGTCATATTGCTTATCTTAACTTATATTTGATTGATGAATTTAATGTAGAAACAACAAATGACCAGTGGTCAAGCTACACTGTCAGCCACACGTGTGGCGTCATTTCCTTAATGAACTTCATTAAATAGTAATCAAGCGCGCCGCAATGAGCATTAATCGAACATTTCTCTATTAAACATCATTAGTTCCGTTTTAACTCGAAGATAATTTAATTCCAGACGCCGAATATTATTTCCAAAGAGTTCAAATCACACACGTATATGTTAATGAAATTTTATTTCATCCCGTTTACAATAATCTTGAAAGCAAGCAAGGGTATTATCGGCGGTATCGCGAAATATCATGGCATATCAGGCGGTATCTGCGGATTTTCGCCTGCAGTATCTTAAAACAGAATTCAGCATGATAATAGCATGATAAAAACAGAATAGTAAAATGTTGTAGAAGAATTAAAAATATAGCTCTTTAACAATTAAGGATGCCCAGATATAAAAGATCTGAATTGATATATATAGATAACATACCTTGTCATAGAATAGATTGCTACTCTCAAGCTTCAATCGTTAAATGGCAATAACAAACCGTTATCAAACTCTAGCTTTAAGGGTCACTTGAAAACTAAAAACATTGATTTGATATCCCCAATGCGAAACCTTCGTATCAGAATTTTAACTTGTAGCTGTGATAATGAAAACTTATGTTTACCTGAGCTGCCATTACGTATGACGTCACAAAGTAGGCGGAGTTTCACTTACGCGGAAAATTATAAATTATGGTCGTGATAACGAGATTTTTTTTCGAATGTAATGCCAGATTGAAGGTTTCAGAAATTACATTTCACGTTATATTATACTGAAACTTGAGACTATGGCACCCATAGGTTTTATTTCTTCGTCCAAAATACGCGAAAAGATTTACTATTTTCTGCGCGAACCGGCATGGAATCACGTGAGCCTGTCTGTCACCGGTAATCAAGCAATTAAAGCACGGCCCATGAAACTGCCCATTTTTAGATAAGGGAATAGTGATTTATTAATGCTTGTTTGCTATACACTTTTATTGGATTAGAATAATTCCCACATAGTATAAGATAATTAACGTGGTCTGCTCTGTATCAAATATAAATATATACTTTAATTGCGAAACAAAAGAACCGAATTATCTAGCAGTTGTCTACATCCATTTTTTCACGACTGGACATTCTTTATTCACCAAAAATGATGTCCTTATAATGCATCTTATATTAAAATTAACGATTTTCCAGCAAGAGTAAAATTATAGCCTTTACATTACGGGATAATCAATTAAAGTAACCAAAGGTTAACATGTCTATCTAATCATAACAACGATGTGTATACATGTATAATATATCTACAGGGTGAAATAAAAGAGAATACTTCGTTATCATAAAAAATAGTGTCAATAACAAAATTCAGAAATTAATTTGTGATTGTTTTCTACTTAAAATTCGAATACCTTGTTTCAGATCATTACTGTCGAATAAATTTCATTTACAAGAAATATCTTTTTAATTAATTAAAGTATAGATAAACACAAAAATCTCAAAAAATATTAACAGTGTCTACTTCCGGTTTCATAAGAAAATGATACTGTACTATCTGTATATTGTTTAAAGTTGTTTTTATTAGATTTATTTCAGGATTGACAATGAAAATAGAAATTGGTGTTTATTGCTGATTATTCTTGTTAATCAACAATGCCAAATTCATACACATTGCTTTTATCAGGCTCAAAATAAAGCCTTAATCGAACTTCTTTTTTAACGCTTTTTTAACTCATATGTTTGTACTTTTCTGTCATTTTTATCTATTTGACTGCTTTCTTTCGTCCTCCAAGTGATGAAATAGGTCTAAAGAAACCATATTTACCTTTTTATGCATATGCCATATTTTTCTATTTACAGATATAACTTCATTTGCCATATTCTGAATATCAACAAGAACAGAGTTTTCAGACAAAATAGTGAGAAGTACAACAAAATAATTATATAGGCTTTTTATTGTTGAATAAGTACATATCTGACACTACATATATACTCAGAAGACATGTGGATATATCAAATATAAACATTTCAGCATATAATTTATTACTGTATACTTAAACAAAATGCTGATACTATTCTGTTTGAAATTGTGGAAACATTCAGATTTTGTTTTAGCTTCAAAATGAACGTTACAAAAATAGCTTGTGCACCAGTTCTATTAACTGTGTATTGATATTCTTGTATATTCACTACTCCCCCCCCCCCCAAAAAAAAAACAAAAAAAAAAAACAATATTCAAGACCAATTGATGCAGACCTCATTGTGTCTATTGAGCGACTTTCTGTTAAACTTTCATGTGATTTTTGTCATAATTTTGATACCGAATTCTTGTCATTGGTTTGTGTTGTTGTGGTTGAAGGTTCTACAATGTGATGAGGTCTGTCACAGTTGGTGCAATGATTCTATCAAACCTGCGTGATCTACATACAGAAATCATGTGATGATGATACCGTGATGGGAAACCCTTCAAAAGAAAAACAAACAAACAACAACAATATTATAAAAAAAAATGTATGCCTTATTTGATTGATATTGGTAAGACAGATTAAGAAAGAGAGACTAATTCAAATTTGATAATATTCAATGTACTATACGGACATTTAAGTCCATTCATTTATTTTTGATTATTTTAAAAACGAAACAAAGTTGTTACTGTGAATTCATGAGAAGAGTGGCGGTATCTTTATACCATGTTTGTTTAAACTATTTAACTAATTCAGTACCGAAACTTTGATCACTTAGATTAGATAAAATATAGATAACTGAAGTTGGGAAAACAATGAAGATTAGACAAGAATTTAACCCCGTTTCATGTGATTGTACACCAGTTCAAACTGAATCAAAGTAGGAAAAAATACCCTTCTTAACACACTTGGAGTTAAACTTCCTATTTCGAAAAATTGCGATGTTTTATATTACTTCCCAAACAAAAATTAAAGGATGCTGGGTAAAAAGAAGTAACATGTACATGTATGCGTTTGTTTTAAAGGCCCATATAAGCCTTAAAAATGGTTATAAAAGCTTTTTTATTTTTGATGTCCTATTACAGTTTTCAATAAGTAATAACTCGGCCACATCGCTGAGCCATCTTTTGCTTCCTTTGCGTTTTGGAAATTTGTAAAAAGTACGGTTTTGGTGATTCAGTATTTTGTATACCTTTATTAGAAACATATTCACATTCAATACTATAACTTCAGGTGATATGCATGTAAAATGTTCAAAATCCATAATAACAACATTACGAAACACAAGTTTACCCTTTCTGTAGAAAGAAACATACATATATATGTATTTCTGAGACTTAGTGTACTTTTAAGCACTGAAATGTGTATGTTTTTTTTAATATGACATTGAATACACATACACATATATCGCCAATATTATAAATACATTTACTCACGTGGGTATATTTTAAAAACTTATTAAAGAAGCAAGAGCATTGTCAGCATTTGTTCTTGCAAACGGTATGGATCAGCATTGGTTCCCTCCAGACTTGTTAATGTTGAGATGGGAAATAAATTGAAGTCAGAATTTGCCATTTTGTTCTGAAAAGTTTGTTAATATGTAACATTTGATGTTAATTCATTGCCATATTTATACTATGCTCAATCTTGTTATATGAAAGTATTGATAATTGCTACACAGTGTTTTTGTAAATATAAAATAAACATGTTTTGACAACACATAAAGAAGTTATGTTATTCTATAATTCCTACACAATATAAGTGGATACACTATGAAAATATGTCATTAAAAAGCTGGCAGATTTTTTTTAAGAGGGGACCAACTTTACTTGACCCGTAATAAGGAACACAGATTCCCATACATAGTTTATATGTTTTTTTTATTTAGATAAAACATATTCAGTAAGAATTTTATAGATTTCAATAAATTTCTGCAATACAGATATTTTACTCAAAGATGAGCATAGTATATCTTTCAGAATATAAAGCTTTTGCAATGGTAATGGTAAAACAGAATCTCGTCATATGAGACAATAGCAATCTCAATAATGTAAACAAAGCATATTTAAACAACATGTTTTTGTTCCAAATGCCCAAATTATTGAAAATAATTGGCAATATTGAAAATGAGCTTTAGAAAGAGAATTTGTGATGCTAAATGTTAACAAAGAGTTAGAAAATTCTGTATATGGATAATCGAAAACTGCTGGAAGGTGAAAAAAATCGTGCCATGTTTGAGAATACTGCATGCCAAAGTAAACGAACATTTAGAAACGAACATTTAGAGATTCTTATGATTATTTCCCTGTGTGATGATATACATTGTGCAGACTTGTCCAGACAATTCCTTTAATGTTATAATTTACAGTCCGACCTGTCCGCGAGGTATATACAGGTCAAAGCAACATGTTTGGCCGATGTTTATTAAATATTGGACACGAACTTTAATTTTGTTCAATCTATTCTCATAGAGAAGGTCAATAAATCAGCAATGGTATTGTTTATATGTTTGTAAAGTTGACATTTTCATGACTGGCACTAAGTTAAGGACATTGTATCGTGGCCACTTGAACATTTTTATGGTCAGCCGATGATTGACCTCATATATAATGGTATACTTGTATCTTACACAGATTGAATGCCCCGAGAGTAATTTTACTATGATGTGTTATATTGTTCTAGACCGCACTTTTTAAAACCTTTAATTTCTTCAAAACTAAGTGCGTATTCTGTTGTTTAAAGTGACTCCATTGAGCTTTTTTTTGGACATGACGGGACTGGAAATAATTTTACGAGATCAATATTCTTCTGGTGTAAGTCTAGACCAATAACTTGCGGCCAAATTATTCACTCGCTCCGTTTTTCCAGAATAATTATTCTTATAGTGGAAAAAGACCAAAAACTGAATAGCTTTGCAATACCTTTCACTCAAATCGGACAAAGAATAGCACAATAATACGATTTTCAATTCTTTTTCTGAAAATAATTTCTTACTATCTTTTGCATATCTTTCAGTTTTAGTGCTTCAGCTGATCTATGTAAGAAATTCAAATTTTATGATATAAGGTTTTGGGACCTCGGTGAAGTTCCTTTAACGCAATACAGATGTACACGAGACGCAGAAGGATTTTCTAAAAAAGGGTGACTAGGGTTAGACATTTTAAATTGCTGCAGCAATATGTATCTGGAGTAAGTGAGTTGATGCCACTTCGACGCAGTGTTCGCTCCTGGATTATAATGAGCAAATAAAAACTACAAGCAACTCTAAATTGTCGTCTGCAAATTTTTCGACTGTGGTCAAACTTTTTTATTAAAACCATTGTGATGCATA